CCACAGCTGAAAACTTATAGCAGTAATCCACTTCTAGTTTAACACCGAGATTCAGTCTGAGAATAGATCAGAGATATATATTTATATCTGTGTACAAACATTTAATTTGTAGTACATCTGGAGCTCTGAAGACTCAGAACAATATAAACAATTGAGAAAAGATAACTTTACCAATAACTAGGAAGTTTTGATCTGTTTTTAACTCCTATACCAGTGTTTCTGCATATCTTTCTGGATTAATTTGTATTAGTTAATTAGTCGATCTTTTAATCTATGATCATATGAAGGAAGTCACTGTAGCTCCTTCATATTTTAGTGGAGGTGTAGGTGACCTAATTTTAATTTAATGATAAATGGACAGAGGAAAAACTATGAAAAATCCTTCCTGATAGTATTGTTTTGATCTCTAGAAAATACTTTCTCTGAGACAAGCATTTTTCTTTTTTTTTTTTTTTCCAGCTGTGGAGCTATTCTGTCTCTAGGATCACTTCTAAGCATTTTTATCTCTCTTACTAGATGGTTTCCTGTGTTACTTTTAACTGGGATAAATTTCCTTCACAGTAGTTAGTATGGGGCTAAGTTGTGAATTTGTGCTGGCAACAGTGTAGATAATGTAGAGATATTTTAGTTACTGCTGAGTAACCCTTACACAGAGTCAAGGCCTTTTCAGCTCCTCAGCCCACACAACCAGTAAGCACGTTAGGGGTACACATGAATTTGGGAGGGGACACAGCTGGGACAGATGACACCAACTTACTCTAGGAGTATTCCATGTGATACAGCATCACGCTCAACATGTTCAGGCTTATGGTGTTTCTCTTCTTAAGTCACCATTACATGAGATGGAGCCCTGCTTTCCTGGAGATGGCTGTACACCTCCACATGGGAAGTGATAAACAGATTCCTTATTTTGCTTTGCTTGTGTCCATGGCTTTACTTATTGACCTGTCTTTATTTCAGTCCAGGAGTTTTCTCACTTTTACTCCTTGTATTCTCTCTCCCATCCCGTAGTGAGCGAGTGATGGAGTGGCTGTGTGGGGCTTAGTTGACAGTTGGGCTTAAACCAAAACACTTCCTCGTTTTACTCTGACAGCCCACAATACAATTCAGGATTTAATTTCCTCTGACAATTAGGGATTTCCAGAATGAGGTATTGTAGCAATATCATTTTTCACGAGAGCTTGCAATCAAGAATAGGTCTTGTTTTGTCAATATTGCTACTGCTAATAATAAAAACGTGAGACCTGCCATATTAGGAGAGTGCTATTACAGGGAATCTAAGCTGATTCTATGCCGTTAACATATACATGTCAGGGAGTAGGAGATCATTGCATATGAATTATTCTGGGTTTCTGTCTATGCACCTCCTCAATTATTTGCCATTATATGCAGATATGGCTGCAGATTCATATAGTGTAAGTGCAGTGCTTGCCTAATCTTTATTGTAAAAAGATAGAGCCTAGTTAAGCAAGTTTTCTGGTTTTATACTTCACTGAAGTATAAAATTTCACTGTCAGCAAGAGCAAATCAGGATAACCATGTAGTGCTGATTTAGGGATTGGCTACAAATTATTAGAAAATCATATCTCCACTGTAAATAAACAAATGTTACACTTTTGCTATCATTGTTATTACTTCAAGTCATTCTGTGAAATATCAACATGTATTAAACACAATTTCAATATAAGATCTTTTTCTTGAATCTTATTTCAGTAAATTATCATGTTCTTTTGTTTCACCTTTCAAAATCTGGTTAATAACTTAGCTTCTTTAAACAGCTGAATGGCATTTAAAAGCCTGATGAAAATGGTGTTGTGAAATGTAAGTAACTGACTGTTTCACTCTTCAAACTTGTAGTTGATGAGGTGAATACTACCGAGATTCTGCAGAAGGTTTCAGTAGAATACTGGAAATTACTGGAAGAAATAAATTTGGATTAAAGTCTTAGAAGGAAATAAATAGCAAGGACCTGTAAGATACAATAGAATCTCCTGTAGATGTAGTGGGTTGACCTTAGCTGGCTGCAATATGCTCTCTTACTCTCCCTTTTCAACATAATGGGGGTAAATAACGAGACAGAAAAGCTCCTGGGTTGAGGTAAAGACAGGGAGATCATTTACCCCTTATTGTCATGAGCAAAACAGACTGGAATTGGAGACAATTTATTCCAACTACTGACAGTTAAAATAGATTTGAATGCTAACAAAGATAGACAAAATTAAAATATCTCCCTATCTCCCCTTTTTTCCAGGGTCAACTGAGTCATTCCTGACTCTTGTTGATGACTCCCACATCAAGTGCCACAGAGGATGTGGAGGGTTGTTGTTAGTCCATAACTGTTCCTTTCTGCTTCTTGTTCATTTTTTCCTGTATTCCAATGTGGATTTTCCATGGACTGCAGTTGCTTCAGGGTGTATCCACCTGCTCCATCATGAGATCCTCCATGGGCTGCAATGTGGTTATCTGCTCCACTGTGGTGTCCTCCACGGATTGCAAGGGAATTCTTGCTCGGGTGTCTGGAATACCTCCTCATCTTCCTTCCTCTCTGACTTTGGAGTTCATGGGCATGCATGTCTCACATGTTTTCCATCATTCCTCACTGACTATGAAGCATTTTGACCTTTCCTAAATATTTTTTCACAGAGGCACCATTAGCTTGGCTGATGGGCTCAGTTGTGTCCTGTAGTGGGTTCTTTGGAACCAGCTATGTCCAGCACAGGACAGTTCTGGCTGCCTTTAACAGAGGTCTACCCTTCAGCACCCCTGATACCAACACCTGGATAAGAACACTCAGTACAGTATGAATAACAAAAGTCAGAAATTCCTTGCTTTCATACTATCCAGAGAAAAATTGCAGCAAAGAAATCATTTGTGTGACAGATTTACGCAGAAAATGAGAGACAGTTCGGTGTTTGTAATCTGGTATATATGGTTCCATACTCTTATGTCTCATAGTTAGCAATGTCCCAAGGTAACACAGACATTTCCTGGCACAGTTTCTACAAACTTAGAATCCAGTCCTCTGCTTTCTAGGGTATGTAACTGCTATGAAGAGAAGCAAAATAAAACCTGTTTTGCACAGGAAGAATAATTCAGTGTTATTCCAAGTTTTATGGGAACATAACTTGCAAGAAATATGGCAATCAGCTCCTCTCACGTCATGTTTTAAGTAATGTGTTACTTTTTCCTACTAAGATGTGAAATACATATGTATTTGAAGATTGTTTCATACAGAACTCATCCTTATCACAAACTCCTATAAAATCAGTATTATACTTGAGAAAACAACTTTTCCCTTTTGCTTTGTATCTGTCTCATCAGTATTAAAGACTGCACAGATGTTCTGAGATGTACTCAGTAGCATTGGACCCAATCTGATGCACTAAGTGGGTCAATTACTGTTTTGTATCCCTTGACTCCTTCTTTCCCCTTTAGTAAGCTTCATGTGCTTTCAGCATATTCCCATATGCTAAATGTTATTGTTTCACACATCTCCAAGTAAATAGAATAGCCAATAAATTATAAGAATTCAATTTGGTTTGTAAAATTACATTTTAGTAAATATTCCAAAATGGGAACTTTTTTGTCCATCATATTACTTGATAAAGTGTTTTATTATGTAAGAAATAGGTTTATTGCCTACAGGAAGGAAAAAAATTCCTTGAACAATTTAAATAAAGGAATACAAAAGAATTTCCAAATTTTTTCCATTAGCTTGAGGATTCAACAGCAATGTATTTTAGGTGGCTTTGTTATCCTCATGTTGCTAGGTTTTGTCTCTCCATGATGACTGAAGGGTCAGTGAAAATGGTGATATTTTCACTTCTGCATTCGGTGACCGCATCTGTCCAGATTCCTGCAGAGAAATTGGCTCTCCTTGCTCATGCTTTGTACTGTCTGGATAAAATCCAGTCTTATAAATCCAGTCTTACATCCATAAAGCAGTATTAGCATGTCTTAGCCCTCAAAGAACCAAGACTTTTTTTTAGAGATCAATCTCATTGCCATTATCCAGGTTGACCTGGAAATTCCTTTGGACAAATTATATGTAATAAATATAAAGACCATTTTATCCAGCATTACCTTGGCAAGACAGCTTTGGCAGAGACAAAAGGGGTTGGTGATTATGGGAAGTAGCATACCTAGTCAGCTGTTGTAGGGGACAAAGATGCAGAAAGGAAGAGGAAAGGGCGGGAAGCTGTCAGTATTCCAGGAACCTTTGTCTTAGATAAAAGAAGTTGACCTAATAGACAGTTGCTTCTCAGATTTCACTGAAACCTTTTGAGTTTTTCCAAAGCATAAATGTTACCTCTAAAAGTTCTCTCAAAGTACTGACACACAATATCTGACATAAATGAACTTATGTGAGATTTCTCCAAAATTTTTACCTGACAACAAGAATATTTAAATTAATGAAAAGTGATATTTTAGTGTTGGAAAAGAAGTACAAGAGTAGAATATACTCAAGAAACATCATATTTTGAAAGGGAAATTTACTTGATATCTATTGACTGTAAATGCATTTACATTACCTCATTTCATTAAGGATCATATGACATACTACTCATGATTACGCTAAATTAAAATCTGACAACACTTGTAATTTATAGCTTCATTTCCTGCTTGGGAACTAGGTACAAAAAATAATGTGTTTTCTCCTTTAAGTATATATTGAAACAAATAAAAATAGTTGCAAGGGGTCCATGGCTTAGTATTTTGTTTAGCTATTGAGTCACCTACTGTAACTTGTTCATTGTTGTAGTCAGGACAGTTTAATCATCTATCAGTGAAGTATTTATTTTGCTTTGGAAACATCTTATTTTACACTGGCATGGACAAAAATGAAGAGTTCAGAGTTCAGGCCTATTAGTAATGTCTGAAAAATTTGACAGCTGTGAGACCAAGGCTTTAGCTTAATTCTCTGTGAAACCTAGTGCATCTGAAAAAGGACCATCCTTTTGACTAGGTCTGCTTTTAAGACTGTATTTATTTGTCTACTACTTTTTATCAGAATCATTTCTTCAACTTGAAAGTCATTGCATAAGTGATATTCCATCTATTTGACAATACTCTATTTGATGATAACCCTTTATATCTCAAATTTCCATTAAGAATTCCTGCCAGATAGGAATCCAATCATATGATTCTTCACAACTATTCAAAAAAACTCATATAACTTATTGTGTCTAATGAGGAACAGTCAACACAAATATTTTTGTAGGGTTGAGCAACCTCAGAATGTCTTCAATTCTATCCACATTAAAATATAATCCTTCAGTTCCTAAAGAAAAGTGTTTAGATTAACATTCTTGTCACGTAGAAACTGTTTCTTAAGTTATGTGTCTCTGCTCTTAAGTACTTTTATAGCCTTTATTTAGTCAAATTTTATACTATCTGTCAGGAAGAAGGCAATGCAGTTTTAATAGTCCAGTAAAAAGATATACTCATGTTTCTATTTTTGTATCTTCATCTTCCAAGGTCAATTCTGGTTTGTTTTAGTCAGTTACTGAAAGCTGGCCATTTCTTTGACTTGTCAGCATCCAACTGATATTCATAATCCAAGTAATTCTTTTCCTGTCAAGAAAATAAAAGAAACAAGTCACTTTTGATTCCATGATAAAAATGAAACTTGTCACTCAACACTGGAAAAGAAGTTAAAGCTTCAGCATCTAGTGATTTATGTTCATTTATTTACTTATTAAAGAAGAGTAAAAGTAGATAACTTGCCTAATGAAATAAGCACTGTTTTAATTCAAGATCATGTTACCATAATAAAAAAATAAATGTTTTTTTTCAACAGAAAGAACTTATTTTAAACTTTGGTCAGACACAGATTTTTCATTCCTGTATGTTTCCTTTGGGGTGGGTGGAGTTTTGTTCTTGTCCCTAGCTAGGCCTTTCAGAATTAACAAGGGAGTAATCAAGTCCTTACACTAATATGTACCATAATCTTTCTACGGTCACTACTGTAAATATTTTACTCTCACTCTGAGCAGTATAAAATGTCAACCCAAACATGCAAAACATAATGCTACCAAAATCTCATACAAAAGTGAGATAAAATGAGTTTAATTCCTTTCTCTTATCTCCAGAAATCTGATTAAAATCAGTGTGAATGCTTTGGTCAAGTATCAGAAAAAGCAGAATTTGACTTGATTAACCCAAGTCAGTTTTCAACTTGTGAAAGATATTTTGAAGGAAAGTTCCATTAGACATTTAATGACAAGATGAGCAGTGCTATTACTATTATTTTGCTTCTGCTCCTCCTGTAAAATGGAAGAAATTTCACTAGTAAAATGTTATGTTTATGGACACAGACAGGCAGTATACTTGAGTATTTTTTTATTGTTCATGGAAATATTTCTTGAATCAAATTTTTCAAAATTTAATTTTTGATGCTAACTCCTGCATTTCCACACATTGTCCTAGTCCCTAACATACTAAGACTGTGATATAGCCAATCATCTGTTTTTTCTATGGAAGCTTGCATGCATACGGTTCTAGAAAGTAGAAACTTGAATATACCTTTTTACTTGACTTAAAACTGCATTATCTCCTTCATGGTAGACATTTGAATTTAATCTGAATAAATAAAGACAGAAAAGTGTATGTAACATCAAACTAATGATGAAAATTTTTTCAATAAGTTTCAAATTCAACAGGGAAAAATGAAACAAGATAGAAAACTGTTATATTACATGGAATTTTCATGTTTTCTTTGTATGAAATTGAACTCTATGTCCTACTAGTGGGTTTGGGGTTTTTTCCCCCCCGTTTTTATGCATAGTTCATGAGTTTCATTTTGATACACTTATGTTATGTGTTTACAAATGAATCCTTCCACACTTTCTCAGCAACAAGATACATGCATAAAATGATAAATTCACAAACTAAGCTAATATCAGTTAAGGGATTCTGTTAAAAAAAAGAAAGCCAATTCAACAAAATTCTACCAGAAAAAGTATCTCCAGTTTTTACTTCAGACTTGTAGGCACAAGTTTGTATCACATACTTAGCCTTGTCTAAAAAACAATTCTGCTTACATTTTGAACAAAAACTGTACATATTTCCATTGCCTAGTCTCATGGGGATTTATCCAGAACCCATATGATCTGAACTTTTTCTAATGATCTCAATGATAACAAGTATAATCTAGAGATTATTTTCATTACATTTGCTTCTGAACTGATTCTTAAATGCAAACAAGCTTAGAATTTTGATGCTAAAATATTCTATTTCAATCAGAAAGAAAAGATATTTAACAGTAACATGTACAACTACAAAAAGTGGACAGCAATAATTGACTACGTGGACTAAAGATTACGAAAAGCTGTCTGCAAAACAATTTTATAGAAAACAGTCAGGTTTGTAGTGAATCATAAGCTGAGTCAACAATCTCAGAAAGAAATGAAAAAAAAAAAGTACCAATGTGGGTTATACAGATAAGCATATAGAAACCACAGGACAATGAGGTACATCTTTGATAAACACACTTTAAACAAGACCTCTGCTGCAGTACCATATTCAGTCTGGACCAAATCTGTAGTGCAGCTACACTACTATCTTTTGATTAGGAGACTAAGATTGCAGTTGTCTTGGACAGGAATTGACTCTTTTACAGGATAGAATAGCATATGTTTTACTTGCAGGTGTTATTCAAGGGACAGCACAGAAGATCTTAATGCAGGGAATCTGCTGCTTGCTTTCACATTGATAAACAAATTTGTAAAAAAATATAATACTTCTGTAACATATCTGTCATTTAAGAGGATTTTCCTAACATGCTTTGAAAACACAGCTCCTGTGGTAGTCAGAATCTATACTCATTGTCTTCCTTGGCTCAGATATTTCCAGCAAAGAAATCCACAAAAGCCCAACAAATTTCTGTTCAAATCTGCTCTCAGTTTTCTCTACTTCTAAGATTGTTTTCTTAGTGTCTCTAAGTGTACAATTTAAATCCTATTTCTCCTCAACAAGCCCTTCTATTCTATCCAGCTAGGGATGCCTTACAGCAGAGGTTGCATTGAATCATTTCAGTTCTTTCACAATCGATTGTTAGCAAGCCAGTCTCCCAACTTGATCTCGGCAGGTTTACTTGTTCGTAAAATACTGATTGAAGTATTTTGCCACCGAATCCTAAAAAGAATAGCAGGACGTAATAAAAACTTAGGAAAATATGTATCTATTTCCAGACACATCACATCAGTAAAAACCAGCTGTTATAGTGCAGGTGAGGAATTGTGACAATGATTGCTTTTAGGGAACATGGACTTACTAATGATTGCTTGAAGTTCATATTAATAGATGAAAATGAAATAGGAAATTAGGAAGAACAAAAAGAGAGAACAGATTTCTCTCAATATAAATATAACATAGCCACCTCAACAGTAGTATAAACACCTGATCAGCATAAACACCTGCAATATAGATGTCTATATATGGACACCCTGTTAGTAAAACATCATCATTACTGGGTAAACATCAGATATTGATGTTTACCCAGTAAAAATGTAGCAGAAATGTGAAATGAAATGCATAAATCTTTTTTTCGCATTCAAGAAAACTTAGTGGTTACATCTTAGCAGTATGTAGCTGTCCAAACACAAATGAGGTTTTGCTCCATAATAAATGAACTGTTGATTTGCTCGCGCAATATTAGGGTAGCATTATATATATCGGTGCTGCACACTAATTTGGCATTCTAAGAGCTACATACTTTTAAGTCAATACAGATATGCCATCTCAAAAAGGAAATTGTATTATGAAAGTCAACTCATAGGAGAAGAACAAAAACTGCAAGATCTACAATAAAATTCCAATACCGAGAGAGTTTCTACTGTTTACTTCAGATAGCAAATACATTAAAAAGTGTATATGATAATCATAAAATCACAGAATCAACCAGGTTGGAAAAGACCTCCTAGATCATAAAGCCCAATCCTTGATCCAACACCATCATGGTTACTAGACCATGGCACTAAGTGCCACATCCAGGCTCATCTTAAAAACTTCCAGGAATGGTGAATCCACCACCTCCCTAGGTAGCCCATTCCAATGTCTAATTACGCCCTCTGTAAAAAATTTCTTCCTAATATCTAACCTAAACCTCCCCTGGTAGAGCTTAAGACTGTGCCCTCTTGTCCTACTGCTGGTTACCTGGGAGAAGAGACTGACACCCACCTGGCTACAACCTCCTGTCAGGGAATTGTAGAGAGTGATGAGGTCTCCCCTGAGCCTCCTCTTCTCCAGGCTGAACAACCCCAGCTCCCTCATAGCACCTGTGCTTAAGGCCCTTCACCAGCCTCATTGCTCTTCTCTGGACCTGCTCCTTCCTGAACTGAGGGGCCCAGAACTGGACACAGTACTCCAGGTGTAGCCTCACCAGCACTGAGTACAGGGGAAGAATCACTTCCCTGGACCTGTTGGCCACAGTGTTCCTGATACAGGCCAGGATACCATCAGCCTTCTTGGCCCCCTGGGCACACTGCTGGCTCATGTTCAGCCTCCTGTCAATCCAAACTCCCAGGTCCCTTTCTGCCTGGTTGCTCTCCAACCACTCTGTCCCCAGCCTGTAGTGCTGCAGGGGGTTGTTGTGGTCAAAGTGCACTTGGCCTTGTTGGCCTTGTTGGAATCAGACCATCTCTCCAGCTTGTCCAGGGCCCTCTGAAGAGCCCTTCTACCTTCCAGCAGATCAACAGTCCCCCCTAACCTGGTGTCATCTTCAAATTTGCTGGTGGTGGACTCAATCCCCTCATCCAGATCATCAATAACGATGTTAAACAGAACTGGGCCCAACAGTGATCCCTGGGGGACACCACTAGTGACCAGCTGACAACTGGATGCAGCACCATTCGCCACCACTCTTTGGGCCTGGCCCTCCAGCCAGTTCTTAACCCAGCAGAGAGTACCCCTGTCCAAGACATGGGTTGCCAGCTTTTCCAGGAATAATAATAATAATAAAGGATATGAGGAAATAGAACTGAAATGTTTTCTTTTCTAGTTTTAGAAAATGAAACAACAAAACCGTGAGCCGGAGATGGAAGTTATTGGTCTATCTACTTACAGGCTGACTGGACTGTGGAATCCTAATAATTGCACCACAGGCTTAATGTTTTCAAGGTTGTATTGTAGACTGAAAGGAGTCTCACAAATACCAGTCTTTTAAAAGACTTTGACAGCTGTTCTTTGATATATGTTACTTGTTCAGGTTCCTTGGCACTGAAGAATGGATTGATCTGAGATTTAAAGTAAAAGAAATGGTAATTTTTAACATCTTTAGTAGTGAGCAACCCTTGTAGCTCCTTATCCTATTTCAACATTCATACAAGGATCGTGGAAATCAGCCCCACTAGACATCTGATTTGTAAGTGACCGTTACGCATAGGTCTACAGTATAAGGATATGGCTTTATTAATATAATAAATAAACCACATGACCCAGTTGGTTGGGGTTCCAGCGACCAAATCCATTTATTGAAAGTGAACATCACCTTTTATATGCCTTCAAACAACATGTGATTCGCTTAACCAACCACCATGGGACTTGCCACTGCCCATGTGTATTAGAGTATATTT